GAATCAATATAGCTGACAGCTTCGTATCTGAATGCGCCTCTCGTCTGGGCCATGCTCCCACTACGAGAGTTCATGTCTCGCTCTGCTTTGCTTGTTTGCTACGAGCGGATCTGAGAGAATGCGCGCAGCACTTTTGATCTGCCAGAGTGTTTACACATAAAGATCATCAGTACTCCTCTTCTAATGAGCGGTTTGATCTTTTTAGGCGGATTTAAAGAGACCAGCCATTCGAATTAATCCAACCCCTTGTCACGCGGACTGAGGCCTGGCAGGCCATCCCCAGAGTGCCAGACTGGGGTTTGGGGATAATAAAATTAGGTTATTCACAGCAATTCGCTCGAAGACCCCCGTGATTCAGCGGCATGGTTCCCACCTTGGTTTAGAGCAAAGACGCACACGTCCTGCACTCCGAGGTGATGAATTTGCTGGCGATAGGAGCCGTAGAAATGGTTCTCCCAGCTCAGAGCAAGTCAGGCTTCCACAGCCGCTACTTCCTTGTCCCCAAAAAGGATGGCAACCTAAGGCCCATCCTCGATCTCAGTCACCTGAACCGCGCCCTCATGAAACGGCCATTCAGGATTATTACATTGAAACAGATCCTCTCGCAAGTGTGCCCAGGGGACTGGTTCTTTTCGCTGGATCTGAAAGACGCCTACTTTCACATCCAGATACCTTGACGACTCTTGGCCCAGTCGGAGGATGAGCTACTATTTCACAGATCCTTCCTCCTCAGCCACTTAGAATGCCTGGGACTCCGGGTCAATTTTGCCAAGAGCGCGCTGTCCCCCAGCCAACGGATATTGTTTGTGGGAACAGTTCTTGACTCAGCCCGAATGAGGGTGGTAGTTGTGCCAGAACGTGCACTGGCTATTCAGCAGCTAGTGGCCTCATTCAAAGTTGGAGCCCCTGCCCTCTCAAGGCGTTTCAGAAGATGCTGGGCCTCATGGCCTCTGCGTCTCCGGTACTTCAGCTGGGCCTGCTTCGCATACAGCCCCTTCAGTGCTGGCTGAAACCGTGAGTTCCGTCCCATGCCTGGCGTTTCGGACGCCTTCGTGTCAAAGTGAACCGGACCTGCCAGTGTTCTGGCCCCTTGGAAAGACTCTCAGTGGATAGAATGGGGCGTACTCCTGGGAATGGTCTGGAGAAGGAAGGTGGTCTCGACAGACGCTTCCAACACGGGTGTGCTGGGCAGGTTGAACCAAGGAGCAGACATGCTATCTCGGAGCAACGTCCCCTCAGAAGAGTGGATGCTCCACCCACATACGGTTCAAAGAATCTGAGAGATCCTCGGCAAGGCAGAGGTCGACCTCTTCGCCTCAGAAGGCAACTCTCACTGCCCAATTTACTTTTCGAAGGACAGGGATGCGTTGGCCCACGACTGGCCCAACCTCCTCCTCTACGCTTTTCCCCCGATCGCCCTGATCCCACAGGTGATCAGGCGAATCAAGGAGCAGAAACACAAGGTTCTGCTGGTGGCCCCACTCTGGAGGACCAAACACTGGTTCGCAGAGCTGTCTTGGCTGCTCTCAGCAGCCCTGTGGCCCATTCCTCTGAGACGAGACCTCCTCTCTCAGGCGAACAGAATGATATGGCACCCCCAGCCCGAGCTGTGGGCTCTGCACCTCTGGCCTCTTGATGGGAGCCTGCAGACCTCCCCGAGAGCATGCTAAATACAACATCTCAGGCTAGAGCACCCTCTACAAGGCGGCTCTATATCCTTAAATGGTCTGTCTTCTCCACCTGCTGTATGGCCCGCGGCGCAGACCCATTTTCCTGCGACATATCTCTGATATTGTCCTTCCTGCAAGAGCTGTTGGATAAGGGTCGTTCCACCTCCACGCTCAAGGTCTATGTAGCAGCCATAGCAGCCTCACATGCTCCTATAGCTGGCCAGTCGGGGGATCTGCCCTACATGGGACCTGCCCACAGTGTTGAGGGCTCTGAAGAGCCTTCTCTTCGAGCCGCTACAGTCTGTTGACCTTCGTTCCCTGACGCTAAAGACCGCTCTGCTACTGGCGTTAGCATCAGTAAAGCATATGGGAGATCTGCAGACGCTCTCGGTGAGCCCCACCTGCCTCGAATTCGGGCCCAGCGACTCTAAAGTCGTCCTGAAACCAAGGCATGGTTACATACCTAAAGTGCTCTCTACTCCATTCAGAGCACAGGTAATAACTCTGTCGGCGATTCCTCAAAATCTTTCCTTGAAAGTCTATGTTGAGCGCTCCGCCCCGTTCAGGCAGTCGGATCAGCTATTTGTATTCTTCGGTGGCCGCACCAAGGGTTCTCCGGTCACAAAGCAGAGACTTTCCAAATGGATAATTGACGCTATTATGCTAGCATACTCTTCTTTGGGCCTTCAATGCCCCATGGGAGTAAGAGCCCACTCAACTAGAGGCATTGCCTCTTCCTGGGCCTGGTCTAGCGGTGTGTCCATTGCAGAGATTTGTGCGGCGGCCACATTTGCCAGGTTTTATAATCTGGACATCCCGGCCTTACAGGCTCGGGTCCTTTCTGCATAAACAGGGCACTCTGAGGCAGGGCCTCTTCCTGGGCCTGGTCTAGCGGTGTGTCCATTGCAGAGATTTGTGCGGCGGCCACATTTGCCAGGTTTTATAATCTGGACATCCCGGCCTTACAGGCTCGGGTCCTTTCTGTATAAACAGGGCACTCTGTCATATGACAAAACCAGTGCATGACGTTTGCCGCCTTCATGTACGCTCTTGGCCCTCACTGAGTTCCGAGGCTGTACTAAATTATCTTGGGATGATTATGCAAGGCTGGGCCGACCTCTTGTGAGTTTGGCCCTACTGCCTCCTGCGGGGCTTCCCAGCAAAATACTTGGTCCCTCTGGGCCTCCCTTGGGTGCTTAAGGCAAGTTCAAGTATTAGTCGTTCCTCTAGCATAGCACAGCGGGATTGTACTGGTTCCCCAAAGCGTCTTAGCAGACGCAGTACGAGTGAAGTATCGATTGGGAACGTACTCGGTTACTAACGTAACCTCGGTTCCCTGAGATACGGAACGAGTACTGCGTACTTTGCCGTGCTATGTAGCTGCACGACTCGACGTTGCTTCAGTCGAAGTAACCTGAGGATCCTACAGCGGAATGCCCGATTATATATTTCCAGATGGCTCCGCCCATTCTGGCGGGCTTTGTTACACTGCGTTATTGAAAGAATTCAGTCATCGGAGAAAAAGGAGTTTTCCCAAAGCGTCTTAGCAGACGCAGTACTCGTTCCGTATCTCAGGGAACCGAGGTTACGTTAGTAACCGAATACGTTTTGTGTGTAGTTTTTAAAAATGGAGCAATAGTTTCAAAAACTGTGTAAGCATTTTGGAAAAAAAAGGAAAAAAAGCTGCTTTGAGACAATCTGCATTGTAAAAAGCCCTATACAAATAATGGTGACTTGATGTGACTTGACCTTGTCTGTGTCCTTGCTTGGAGGCTGAACACAGCGGCTGAACGCTTCCAGCTTATCGAATCTTGAGTGAAAAAAGCAATGGACACCTTGACAATTAGCACACCAAAAGCCTATAGCAGGCGAATGGCTCAAATCAAAACTACTGTGGGACAGTACACCACTTAAGTGCAGTAAATGAGTGATACAAATATCAAAAGCTTCTTCTTAGCCGATGGCTATTATTCTGATTACAATGTTTACAAGTGCTATCAAAATACAATCTATAAACAATCTATAAATAAAGAAGAAAAATACAAATATATAGTAAAGGAAATAATCCTTCCTAGCAACAAATAAAAATCTAAACAACAGAAATAGAAACAAGGTATTAAGCAAACACTTAAACATTACCAACTTCTCTGCGGAGTAAATAGCTTCTCCACAGTATAAGGCTATTTCATTCAGAATAAGAAATGCTCCAGCTACTTTTCAGAGATCAAATATTAGGCATAAAAAACTTTTTTTCTAGAGCTGCCCTCGGCTAAACATTTGTCTGGTCGACTAGTAGTCGTTCATTTGAAGCATTAGTCGACTAATCGCATGTTTATTAATAAACCATTAAAATCATAATAATGCACCTTTAATTGCCTACATAGCCTATAAGCGCTCAAGCACACGCATAAAGCTTGCCACGGCACACCGGCAGAAGTAATGATTATGAATGTGTCAGGGAAAAACAGTAAGGAGGCTGCATTAACGTTTTAATAATTCATTGATAAACCAGTGCTTTTTTGTTTTCGGTTTAAGAGATGAAGTTGGCGACACTGTCCCTTCATCTCTGCAGTAGTGGATGCGCCTGTTGTGGATTACATAAATCGGAGAATATTTGTTTTCCATTTGAATTGGTTTATTTGAAAGTAGACATTTCACTCTCTATAGATATATTTTTCTGTGTCTGCAAGTATACACGGCGTTTCAGAGTTCCGAGATGGCAGAAAGCGCACTGATTTAACAGCAATAGAATAGAGATGTAGCCACAATCAGATGCCAAAAATATATTTGTAACTTTAATATGCACAGTTTATGTACTATGATGGAGCTTAAATGTGAAATTCTTCACAAACACTTTCTCTGCAAAACGGAACAGTTTAAAAGACACCTTTTTTTCTGAAATTTTAGACAAATGGTAGATTTTAAATCAGTTGGTAATTAATCATTTTTCTTTGGCCAAACTGTGCTTGTTTTTGATAAAGGGGTTAATAACTGCTAGCTTGAATATATTTGGGATGTGTTCTAAAAGCAAAGAGTTAACAATATTGAAAAGAGTTTCTAAAATTATATGCATCACCCATTCAGTAGCTTACTGCATGTACTATCTAGCATACATGTTGGTTAATATTTTGATGTCTGTTTTTTGTGCTGTTAATCTGGGAGTGACTTTCATTTGCCTTTTTTCACCTTAGACCTCATGCTGCTGAAAGAGGAGTGCAAAGTACTGAATGAAATGGTAGAGAAAGAACAATATCAAAAGACTTTCAATGAACATGGAAACCTTAAAATCCACATGAAAATTCACACTGGAAAGAAGCCTTTCACCTGCCAACAGTGTGGAATCAGTTTCACTCAAAAAGGCATGCTTAGCAGGCACATAAGGATTCACACTGGGGAGAAGCCTTTTACCTGCCAACAGTGTGAAAAAAGTTTCAATAGAAAAGAAAACCTTAATTTGCACATGAGAGTTCACACTGGGGAGAACCCTTTCACCTGTCAACAGTGTGGAATAAGTTTTACTCACAAAGGAAACCTTAACAGGCACATGAGGATTCACACTAGAGTCAAGCCTTACACCTGCCCTGGGTGTGGAAAGAGTTTCAGTCAACTTGGAAACCTTAAAGTGCACATGAGAATTCACACTGGGGAGAACCCTTTCACCTGCCAACAGTGTGGGATAAGCTTTACTCAAAAAGTAAGCCTTGAAAGACACATGAGAATTCACACTGGGGAGAAGCCTTACACTTGCCAATGGTGTGGAAAGAGTTTCAGTGAGCATGGAAGCCTTAAAGTCCACATGAGAGTTCACACTGGAGAGAGTCCATTTATCTGCCAACAGTGTGGAATAAGCTTCATTCAAAAAGGAATCCTTAAAAGACACATGAGAATTCACACTGGAGAAAAGCCTTACACTTGCCAACAGTGTGGGATAAGCTTTACTCAAAAAGTAAGCCTTGAAAGACACATGAGAATTCACACTGGGGAGAAGCCTTACATTTGCCAATGGTGTGGAAAGAGTTTCAGTGAGCATGGAAGCCTTAAAGTCCACATGAGAGTTCACACTGGAGAGAGTCCATTTATCTGCCAACAGTGTGGAAAAAGCTTCATTCAAAAAGGAATCCTTAAAAGACACATGAGAATTCACACTGGGGAGAAGCCTTACACTTGCCAACAGTGTGGAAAGAGTTTCAGTGAGCATGGAAGCCTTAAAGTCCACATGAGAATTCACACTGGAGAGAAGCCTTACGTGTGCCATCAGTGTGGAAAAAGTTTCAAACGAAAAGGAGACATTAATTACCACATGAGAGTTCACACTGGGGAGAACTCTTACACCTGCCAACAGTGTGGAAAAAGTTTTACTCTAAAAGGAAGCCTTAACAGGCACATGAGAAAATTACACTGCATACAATCAACACAATCTTAATGAACACATGAGGACTCAAAAGAGAACTGTTTTATTCTTTTGAATAAAACCAGCAAGTTCTATTTAGTGACTGAGTGTTTGTTTGGCATGCTGATCTCTTTATACAGTTCCAGCTTCCTGTCACATGAATGGTCACATGACAGGCCAACCATACATTTCTTAAAGACATACACACTAAAATATTAAGAGGAATAAAATGGACTTAAGAAAACATGTAAACCAGTTAAAACTCTATTATACATAAAATCATTGCAATAAATAGAGCGGTAAAACATGTCTCTTGTGTAACAGTGTCACAAACTAGCAGTGGATGCAAGCCTTTCATGTGCCATCACTGTGGAAAGACTTTCAGAAACAATCCTACTGTGAACCTCAAGAAACCCAGATAGAAAACCAAATCAATGTGGAAGGAGTTTCACAGACAGGAATCATGTAATAACTTGTAACGATCAGCCTAACAGGCTGGGTGTGATGAGAGGGATGGGGCTGAGAGCCGTGGGAACGGAGCGAGGCCAGTGGAGTAAATGCTAATGCACGACACCTGCGCCACTCACCGGTCTCGAGTCCCACGGAGGAGCTCCGGAAGGATAGAGTGGGGGCGGGGCCGAGAGCCGTGGGAACGGAGCGAGGCCGGTGGAGTAAATGCTAATGCACGACTCCTGCGCCACTCACCGGTCTCGAGTCCCACGGAGGAGCTCCGGAAAAATAAAAGGAGGAGTGACGACAGTGTTGGACGAGAGAGGACCAGGCCTGGACTTTATTTTGTGTTTTGGTTCTGTTTGTGCGCGACAGTCGTCCGCGAGGGGCTGTCGCACTATTTTGTGTTTATTTTATTAAGTTTTCTTTAAATGTTCGCCGGTTCCCGCTCCTTCTTCCCGATCTACAAACTGTGTTACACTGGGTTACAAAGTTTAAAACGGGGTCAGATTTATGACCCTGTGGGGTCAGATTTATGACCCCTGTGTGAGAGGTTTGTGGATGTTAAAAGAATAACATTAAACAGAGATAAGTTTAGTAAGAATGGTGTATTTACAAAGTTCATGGGACTTTAAAACAACACAATAAAACCAGGACAACTTAGGCCGTTAAAAGCATAGAATCCATTGATTGCACCATACCCTAAAACAGTTCAAGAATCCTAGTGTGCTGAAATGTCCCAATGTGAGTGTCCAAGCAGTGTATATGCAGTCCAACAGAAGTGATGATCCAATTTGTTGCAAAGTAGTGACTGGAAAGGTAAGTCTAGTGATGTTACATTCAACACAGAAGCTCCGAAGCTTGTATAAAAAAAACAACACATTTCACATTGAAGCATTGTATTGGATCTTGATTCGTTTTGAGAAAAGCACGTGATCTATGACGTCCGAAGCTTCATTCGCCTGAAAACCATGTGACTGCTTCAGTATCTGGTTCAAATGAAGCGAATCTCAGTGCTGTTTCCTTTACATTGTTACATTTTAATGTGTTAGCATTGTTTCTTTTATTTTTTTTTTTTATCAAAATATATATAGAGAGCTCAAAATGAACTTTGGCCATGAAATAACAGTCTAAGGACTGAGGCAGAGTTAAAATAAACAGATCATAGATTTAATTTATGAATTTATGTTTTATTTATTTTACTTATTTTAGTGCCAGTACACGACACAAATAAATGACTTTGACAATAAACATTATTTATATAAAATATAATAAAACAAAGAATCAGTTGTAGATCCAGATGTGAAACCAGCAGTTGTAATGGAACATAACACTTTGGAAGTTGTTAGTCATTTTTGTGACCACTAGATGGCAGCAGAATAAACCGTTTTGAGAAGCTTCGAGTAATAAACCTTTTTCCGATACAATTGTGTTGAAAACTTCGCTGGTTCAGAACGCTTCACTTCGCCATCACTAGGTAAATCCACAGGTTGGAAACTCCACAATCCAGCAAGTTCTATTTAGTGACTGAGTGTTTGTTTGGCATGCTGCTCTTTATACAGTTCCAGCTTCCTGTCACGTGAATGGTCACGACAGGCCAATCATACATTTCTTAAAGACATACACACTAAAATGTTAAGAGGAATAAAATAGACTTAAGAAAACATGTAAACCAGTTAAAACTAGGGATACTCCGATCCGCCTTTTTTGCCTCCGATACCGATTCCGATACCTAGGGTTCGGTATTGGCCGATACCGATCCGATACCAGTGAAGTTTTTTTCACCCATTTAAATAAATGTAGAATTTATATATCTCTTGTGTGTGGAACTGATAATCATTATTTCACAATCTACTAGATTTTTATTGGACTATTGAAGTATTCTAATTTGTTGAGATAGTGAATTGGTGGGTTTTTGTTAAATGTGAGCCAAAATCATCACAATTAAAAGAACCAAAGACTTAAACTACTTCAGTCTGTGTGCATTGAATTTATTTAATACACGAGTTTCACAATTTGAGTTGAATTACTGAAATAAATGAACTTTTCCACAACATTCTAATTTATTGAGACGCACCTGTAAATATTCATATGTAGCTCACATTAAGCTATCGTATGGCTTCAGAAGTAACACAGAATAATTCGCACAATCTAAAACTCTATTATATATAAAATCATTGCAATAAATAGAGCGATAAAACATGTCTCTTGTGTAACAGTGTCACAAACTAGCAGTGGATGCAAGCCTTTCATGTGCCATCACTGTGGAAAGACTTTCAGAAACAATCCTACTGTGAACCTCAAGGATCCCAGATAGCAAAATTCCTGAGGCCTAGATCAGGCCCACACCTGACACTTTCATTTGGCCCACATATCGCGTGGAATAATGGCAATTGGGCGGTCCGCTCCTGTTTGCCAGATTTGGAGACACTTTCATCTGGCCCACATACTGCGTGGAATGATGGCAATTGGGCGGTCCGCTCCTGTTTGCCAGATTTGGGCCACAAGTAAGCCAAAAGAAGGCCCAAATAAACCATGTCAGCCATGAATAAACCAAATAAAGCAGAACTGGCCCAAATCTGGGCCACATTGATTTGAATTCTGGACCAGATCCGGCCCAGATCCAACACCTTGCTCTGGGCCACATACTGTGAAGAATGATGGCACTTGGGCGGTCAACTCTTGTTTGCCAAATTTGGGCCACAAGCAAGCCAAAGGAAGGCTTTGGCATAGGATGTCAGCCATGACAATAAATAAACCAAATAAAGCAGAACTGGCCCAAATCTGGGCCACATTGATATTAATTCTGGCCCAGATCCAACACCTTACTCCGGCCCACATACTGTGAAAAATTATGGCACTTGGGCGGTCCGCTCCTGTTTGCCAAATTTGGGCCACAAGCAAGCCACCGGTAGGCCGCATGTCAGCCATGAAAATAAATAAATAAAATAAACCAGACCTGGCCCAAATCTGGGCCACATTTATTTTAATTCTGGCCCAGATACGACCCAGATCTAACACCTTGTTCTGGCCCACATACTATGTAGAATGATGGCATTTGTGTGGTCCACTCCTGTTTGGCTTGCTTGTGGTCCAAATTTGGCATAGGATGTCAGCCATGACAATAAATAAATAAAATAAAGTAGAACTGGCCCAAATCTGGGCCACATTTATTTAAATTCTGGCCCAGATCCAACACCTTGCTCCGGCCCAAATACTGTGTGGAATAATGACATTTGGGCAGTCCAATTCTGTTTTCCAGATTTGGGCCTCAAGTAAGCCTTAGTATTGCTGCATGTAAGCCAACCAAATAAACCAAAACTGGCCCTAATGTGGGCCACAGTTGATTTTTATTCTAACCCTGGTCTTCCCCACATTCCTCATGTGGCCCACATGCTGCATGAAATGGTGGCATTTTGGCAGTGGTCCACAAGCAGGGCACGACACAGCCACATTTTAGCTAATAATGAACAAAATAAACCATAAATATACATTATCTGGGCCACACTAAGCCTTAAGTGAGTTATGCATCAACAATACTCAACATTGTAAAGAGTAATTTAAAAATGTCCTCCATAAATGTTCAAATAAGTTCCAGAAATGTGCCCTACTTGATAAAATCATCCTGACCCAAGTTTTGCACAAGCAGCAATTAAAATGTCACAGATAAATATTCAAAGACACATTCCAATACTTTAAAAACTGTTCTTCACAAGTTTGAACTTAAATGCTTCTCACTCAG